ACATTGGAGGAGCCGCCGTCTCCTGCTGCCTGCCTCCTCTTGGCCTTCTTTGGTGCCTGGAGGACAGAGACAAGCACATCATCTTCAAATGAATATGGGATGCTGATGAGTGCGGAACAAGATTCGGTAACCCTTACTTTTATCAATCTATGTCAATAGGATGTTTAATAATATTAACCTTTCTAAGCTATATAAGATTTATAAATTATACTAAAATCATAAAAATAATCAATTTTGCATAGCATCTCTAAACTTGTCTGATTGGAAATCAATGCTCATCCAGATTACACTTCAGGTTCAAGTTCAGGTCATCACTCAGGCTTGTTAAAAAAAACAGGATTTTAACACAAGTTATGCTTGTGTGAAATTTTATAAACTTGATACTTTTTCCTCAATTTAGCTTTACCGAACTAATCAATTTGGCTTGCAATGTATCTAAAAACTTGTATCAACTAATAGCAACAATTCATTAGAATCCAAGCCTCTTTACAGCTGCATCATCAAAAATCCAGTTCTCCAAAATCCACACTTCTATTCTGGAATTTCTATTTCAAAATTAGACCAAAAAAAAAAAATTTGTAATCCATGGGGTTGGTTCAAACTCTCCTGTAGATATTTCCACCATCACTGTGCAGAGATGTGGGAAGCCTGGTACTCACCATCTTGAGAGCTGAGGTTTGGGTGATCAAGAAAGGGAAGACACCGTGTGTGAAGCCGCGTTATACGTTTATTCCCGGGGGCTTATATACTCATCCACCAGCCAATCTAACTTTAGCCGCAGCTTCAAGTTTGGATGGGAATAAAAAGAGAGAGAGCGAGAGGGTGTGTGTGTGTATGTGAAATAGAGAGAAAGAGAGAGAGAGAGGATGGCCAAGGATGAAGTGATGGCAAAAGTGAAGGAGACAGAATGGCGGGGCAGCGTATCACCTTACAGGAGATCAAAAATAGACCCGGGAGTCTTGGAATTAAGTAAACTTGATAGCTGAGGGACCATGTTGCAGGTTGGCAGTCCCACGTGGACTAATAAGGACATTCAGGACATATATACTTGTTGGACCACTGGACACTGCCTCTCCTCCCCTCCTTCTGTCCACCTCCATCCGCCTGCAGAAAGGCACAGAGGCCACTCTGACTTTATTTTTGGTTTGTCCATTTGCGATATTACAGTTTGACAGGCATTCTATATGCTCAGCAACTGATGCAGCTCTTACCCCGAATGTGCACAGCGCTGCTTTCTTTTTTTAAGCCGTGACAAAGTGACGATGCTGATGTCAAATCTGGGATTTTCCCATGGAAGTTATGATGACAGGAGCTGCTTAGCAGGATCAAATACATAGTACTACATAAAAACATGCAGCCATTAATAAAACGAGCAACAGCAAGATATATAAGCAATATTTTTTTTACTTAATCCTTACACTGAAATACTTTAGAATCGTGCTGTAGAAAAGGGAGCGTGTCTGAGGATATTAATGCCTGCAGACTTAGTTATATAGAATTTCTATTTGTATTTTACCCCCGTCCTTTCTGGATGCATTAATGCAAATGCAAACTGGTCTGTTTTGTAAAAAGAGCTTTATGTATTTATTTCCCCTTTCTTTTTCAGTCTTTTCAAACCTATTCCATCATGGTGAAAAGGAACATTGCCAAAACTGAATTAAATTAATAAGGATAAGGTGTAAACAAAGAGCTTAAACAAATTATTTATCCAACAGTCTTATTGTTTAATAATTAAAATGTTAGTGCAAACAATGTAAACGTGTTAGGGATGCAGATTAGTGCCACAACAATGAAACATGAACAAATGAAAAATAATAAAAACAACATAATTGTTATGTTTATAATAATTAATAATGTAATTGAAATAAATAAACAATTAAACAATTTCTGCTATTGTAGGTCACAGATATACAGGGGGTGATACATGAAATGCCTGAAACATTTATTTAGTAGCAAAAGAGCAATGTACGAATACTTCCTGCATTCTGAAAGTAATTTTAAGAAAATGTCCTTAAATTATTAATAAAAGTTTAATCCTAGAGAAAAATGAGATATTACATAATGTGTGGCTTAATTAGATACTTAATACCTGGCAGGGATAATTTAACTTCACTTAACTTTCAATATTTAACTTAGTTTTTTTATTGGACTAAACAAAGACATCATAGTCATAAGCCAAAAGGTTTGCACACCAGTAATTTAATTTTTAAACATGTACATTTATATGTTGTCCCTTAGTTAAATACAATTTTGATTGTGGAAGCAGATAGTCGCTTCATATATAAGATTAATTTTGAGGCCTGAAAACTACAATACTACCTTTTACATGGCAATTAATTTCCAATGTGTAGTGTGAGTTGCTCTTTTGTGTAAGTCATTTTTTCTCATTTTTTGTGTGTTTGTTGTTTCCGAAGGGGTGTTGCGAGCCTTAAATGTACGACAACATGCCAGACAATTGAAAGCACCATTAATCTCTGTCTGAGGCTCTGCCTTCTCATCACTACAGAGGTGTGTGATTTCTGATTGGTTACAGTCATGAACACTTTCCCACCTGTTTGGCCCCCTCTCACACCGTCTACCCCTCAGGCTCCCACCCCCTTAAATATAAAGGGATTACTTGGCAGGGTGATGGCAGCAGACATTCCCAGAAGAGCATAAAAGGGACAGCTGAGTGCGACCAAAATAGCTAAATAAACCTAACAGTCTGTCGACGTGCCGCCACCCCCCCCAAATAGCAAAATGCTTTCCTTCATTTGCTCTTTCAGGTTTTATATCCAAATCTACTTCAGAGATAATCTGTTTTCATTTCATTAATCAGGCACATTTATTTTTGTTCTGTGGTTGAGACTGTTTGTGTTTCCACTTATCTCCCCACCAGCCACCGATGAGTCACATCTCTGCTTTTCACTGGTTTCCAGTCCCTCAGTAATCTGAATTAGGCTGGTGTTTGTTTTCACTGGACGTGCAGGAATTCCAGGCTCTGACTCTCAGTACTTACTTTGTATTCTTGTTGACCTTTGACCTCTCTTTCACTAGACCATCAACATCTCGTTGCAGGAGTTATATGTATCACACCACATGGTGTCAGTTTTTACTTTTAAGAGGAAGAAGTGGATAAGATAAGATTTGCCTGTATACATATTTTTCTGTACACTTCATTTATCGCTCATACATGAGACGAAATGCACTGTGGGAGGAAACTGAAGCAGGCAACTCCACGCAGAATCAATGATTCAAACCAGGAACCTTTTTACTGTGAGGTGACAGTGCCAACACGTGCAGCGCCATATTAAACTACACTGAAACTCTGTGTTTTAGCTTTAAAAGCGGCTCCATAATCTGCTCCCACAATAATCATTCACTGCTTTTACACTTTAGGATTTACTTAAACAAGTTAGATCTTGCAACTTACTTCAGTGGAACATTTTAAAGTATTACAACAGATTGCATTGCTTCTAATATCAGCATATGGTGACCACTGTATCTGCTTTAAACATCATTTAGCCTGTTGTTTTAACACTGTGTGTGCTTGGGTTTTTTATTCGTGTTCTTTATGTGATTGTGACTGAAAATAATAACAACAACTCAATGGCTTCCTCATAGATTTGTCTTTTTGAAAGGGAAAAGTAATGACTTTAAAATCGGTCTTCAGTAAAAAAAACTAATAAATCAAAGTGTTTTTCTTCAAACTGGCCCTTCTAGTTGGACACGAGTGTCAAGCACTTCTTAAGAAATATGCAAACGAGCTGTAACATCTCAAACTTTTCACAGATGTGTCAGCTGCTGCAGTTTACTGACTTCACCGTCTGCACAATGTGCTTACTCGCCGCTGTGGCGAGGGAATGCTTTCATACAGATGTGTGTGTACATTGCAGGTGCCTGTGCTGTAATGTGACGCATCCCACCACGCTCTTGAAAAGCCATCTATCATTTCTGGATGATTGGTATGTGTGTATGTAGGGTCTGGAATGTGGAGAAGCTCCCTGCTTGACCTATGGGGAAGACGGTCTTAGCAAATTGGAGTGACACGGGAGACATGAGAGTTTGTAATGTCATAATGTGTGTTTGATCACCGTCCAGTCTGAGGTTACTCTATTTGGTTATTTGAGTCCATCTGTGATTGTGTTACATCAGTCGCCATTCAGTGAATTTCAAAAGCACTTCAGGTGTCTGTTGTTGTTTTTCAAGTTGCAGGACAGCTGAATTGTGGACGCTGCTGATAAAAGTAAGCAGCAACTAACTTAACTAAAGCCACTAAATTTTCTTAAATATGTAACACCAGCTGCATTCTTTGTGTCTCTTGCATGCGTCTATAAATCAGTCAGTCACACACTGTGCCTGCAGCTCCCTCTACTGTTCATGTTCCTTCACTGCTTCTTCTTCTCTGTGCAGGTTCTCAGTCATCCATCCACTGCTTCTTCTTCTTTCAGCTGCTCCTTTTAGAAATCACCACAGCGGCTCATCTACCTCCTCTGTCACAGAAACCCTCCTTCACTACATCCATGAATCTTCTCTGTGGTTTTCTTCTTTCCTCCACCCTTTGTCCAGTATATCCACAATCCCTGCTCTTCACATGCCCAAACCACCTCAGCCTTGCCGCTCTGACTTTCTGATCTGTCCCTCTGATGTACTGATTTCTAACCTGCAAATGAAAAGCTTAACATCCTCAACTCTGTCACCTCTTGTATTTTTGTCAGTGCAACCATCTCCAAACCATACATGATAGCAGGTCTCGCTACCATCTTCTAAACCTTCCCTTTCACTCTTGCTGCCATCATTCTGTCACAAATCACCGGTGACACTCATGCTTGCACTCTCTCCTTTCTTTTGCTTTGGATGGTATTTAAGCTCATCTTCCTTCAGGACATGGACTTTCTTACCACCACTGTTAATCACAGGCGTAGATTTAAGAAGGGGCTCTTATGAGTTATGTTTATTTGTATTTTGTGCATCAAAGTTGTGTGTCAACATGCCAACGAACCAGTTACAAGTCATAAAAAAACAATAGACATGTTTTATTTGATCGTACAGTGAATTTCATATAATACTCTTTTATTTAACACTGCATCATGGTGGGCGTCCCACAGCAAGAAAATCACAGGTGTAAAATATTGCCATAAAATATAAAAAGAAAAGGCCCCTTTGAACAGCATCTACCCTGCTTTACATTCCAGTGTGTTTTCTTCACAGAATCTAGAAAATCTGAACTTTCTGCAAAGAGTTTAAAGCTAATCTAAAAATGACCGGCGTTGATCAGACAGATGTCAGGTGTCTGCCAAAAATGTCAAAATACTAAAACAGGCCCGCTTCCTCTTTGACACACATGACTCACCCCATCTCAGTTCCTCCTAAGGAAACACTAAACTCTTTTTTCTTTCACCCCAGGTCAATAAGATCTTGATCAGTGTGGTCCTCTTCTTTTTGCCGACTTTTCAGCCAGTCCTCTCGCACTTTCTTCACTTCCTGGCCGTAATAATCATGGAGTTTGCTAAAATCCTCGAACAGGTCAAATCCCACCAAAGGCCACTCCCCATACAAAGGTGCTGGTCCATTAAGAGGTGTGACACAAGCATGTCTCCTGGTCCAGAGTTTGGGGGATTTTTTTGCCACTACTTTAGCTGGTATGGAAGGTGCTTGTAAAAGGGTGCTGGCACTGAAGCTCCTCCCCTCTCTGACTACTGCTGTTTGCTGCATTGTGGTGAATAAGAAGCTGTTTGTGGGCAGCTTGAGGGCACTGACAGAGGGGTGGGACTCACCCAGGCTTTGCTGCCGCTTAGCTTCTGTGAATAGAAACCAAAATATGAACAGAGAACCCTGCTTGTATATATAAAGTGTAAAAATTTCAACAGTTAAATTTTACATTCAGGTTATGTGCTGTGATATTTCAGGACTAGGGGAAATAACTTGCTGTAATCAAACCAGACTATTTTTTTTTAAAAGCTCAGTGAGCTGTTTAAGCGCTGGGCAAACCATAGATTAAAACCATATAAAAATGGCTGATTGAAAGCAAAAAACACATGAGAATTTGATGTATAGGGGGCAGTACTCCTAACACACCTTCATACTGTCTCGCTAGGTCTTTCACCACCATGGAGAGGTAACAGTGGCTGGCTGAGTGGAGAGCTTTCACCCAACTCTCTTGACCCTGGCGATCTATTGCTGCAAATCTGTAGGTTTTGAGTCCAGGCCCAAACACCAGGGAGAAGGTAAAATGTCCATCGGTCTCCGAGTGCTGAACAGCACACCCTTCCAGCACAATGACACCCAGCAGGTGTCTGTCAGCTGGGCGCTCCTGGTAAAAAAGCAAGTTTGCCTTCAGGACAAACCACCGCCGGTGGTAGGTGTCATTTCGTTTTTTCTACGGGGACATTTAAGATAAATGAAGTCAAAAGATTGTATTTGCACATGAAAAGTGATTTCACATTGTTTATGATGTATATCATCTCAAACCCTTTTGTTGAGATATCCCTCTTTATCCACTGGAGATGTACACGAGAGGTAATGGGTTAAAATCTTCTCATGAAGCTTCATCACAACACCTGAAAAGGAGAAAGCGCTGATGCATTCGGATGATATTTATACCAAAATCTGCACTAGATGTAACGAACACATGACAGAAGAGTGATACGGCAAAACATGCATGGCCCTTAAATTACTGTACTTGTTTTATGTGTGAAAGCAAAATGGATTTGTTGGTATGATACAAAACATCCATGAAAGTTAAAAAGTAAAGGCAGGTGTTCAAGAAAACAAATAAAAATGAAAAAATACTTGATGAAAATTATGAAAAGTATGTGTACTAATAAAACTAACATCATTTTTAGTCAGTGTCAGGTTAGTTACATTTATTAACATGATCTGCCTGATTTTACACAAGGCTTTGATTTTTCTACATGACTGTGAGTCGACCGCATCCACAACGTAGCAACACAAAATGAAACATTTTGAAACAACAGAAAAAACTCAAAAAACGGACTCAAAACTAAATAAATAATTCGAAAAAATTAAGCAATGATATTTCAGGTCATCAGAGTCAAGCTTACTCTGTTTTCCCTATTACAGTGAAACCAAGCAAGGCAGATTTTATCTTCTGTTTCTAGTGAAACAGTCTGCAAATATTAAAAGTGTACAGATTATTTAACTTTAATTGGTTTGTGTACCTTTAACTTTTTGCTTTTGATTTTAATGTCTTTTAAATGTGATTTGAATGAATTTTAAGCCATTTAAGCCACGCTAAATAATCTCGCAATGTCATGTCACGGAGGAACCGAAAAACTGCAATACTTGCATATACAGCAGTAAAAACTAGATCCAACACAGTAAATTTATTACTGCTGTACTGCTGTGTTCATACTGCTATTTCAACCATTACGAGCTTTTTCTATAAGTACGTTACAGTCACAGTGAAAACAGGTGTATAGCTGTGCAGCTAAATTGTATCTACCAAAATCCGACACTCTTGTCTAGTAACTATAAACAACAGTGACATAATAGAAAACGGTGACTCAGACTCACCCCTGCCAATGATAAATCGCTCACGGGGTCAGTTTGCCCTCTCGCGTGGACTTTACCTTAATTACATTCGCACATATTTTCTTTGATTCCTGTCATTCCTGCTCGTGAAGCCGATTGTTCTCCTCCAGATCCAGACAATGTTTGAATGTATAGTTTCAGGTTACTACCACCGGTTCTCCCTCATGAACAAGAGGACGAGCGTTGAAATATAAATAACTCGACCCACTTCCTGGTAACAAAACCCTGGTAACATTATATTCTCTCGCCTCTGCGCTTGAGTCTGCTTTGAGCTGATGGGTCATACACCGGCAGTTGAAACCAACCTTACTGACAAGAAGTGCTACCTGGAAGTGAGATGCTCAGCCCTCTCACTTCTGCATTTTCTGTCACTTGATCTAAACTTAATATCAGTTAAGTTTAGATCAAGTCTCTCATTGTATGTGAGGCAAATGTCCCTTGTATCTTGAACTTTGTTCAGAAAAAGTATATATTTATCCATATATCTAAAAGCAGAAAAACATTAAATGGCCTCCTGAAAATGTAGCTCATCGTTTCTTTGCTTGTGTCTGTTTTTGACATCCACTTATCCTTTTTATCCTTATGGCCCTCAGAGAATTTAGAATCTAAAAGGCTCCAACGTGTAAAGACATCAAAGGCCTTATACACTGAGGAGCCCTTTCTTGGTATATAAGGCCTTGGATGTCTTATATACTTTGGATATTCATCGCTGCCTCCTGTATTTTTGTAAGTGCCACACCACCTTGTAAATCTTTCTTGCTGCTTTTTTTCTGTTACTCATCAGCCCTGACACTTGTATCCACCAACACTCCCCTGCCTGCACTCTCTTTTTCACCTCTTTAGAGCATTGTCCTTTAGTTTGGATGGTTGATCCCAGGTATTTGAACCCATCCACTTTCACAACCTCTAGCATTTGCAGCTTCACTGTTACACCCGCCTCTGATTCACACACATGTATTCTGTCTTGCTCCTACTGACTTTCACTAACTATTCTCCTATCTCACGCATTTTCTTCCTTAATCACCACCTCTAAGTCTAAGAACTTTCTCTTTACTCATTAGTACTTTTCTATCTCTATCTTTAACAACTAAATCCCATCCAGCTCGACCTCTCTGCTTAACCAATCGTTACAAGTTCTTTTCTCCTTTCTAATTGTCCAGCCTCACACACAACTCACTATATACGTCTGTAATACACGTATTTCTGAAATATACAATCCAATTCCCCAAAAGCTGATTCTGTTCATCTAGCGTTTTCAGTGGATGATTAAGTGAACAGAATCAACTTTTGGGATTTTTACTTACCTGGATGATTGAGCATGCATCAAGACAATACAATCCAATTCATACTCCTCGTCAGCTGGTGGCGGTAGTGCGCCGTATCGCTGTTTGTTAACGACAACGTGAAAACATGAAAAGAAGAAACTGAGTCGAAAACGAACGTCGTTTGAATAATTTTCGGCAAGTTTTTACATCATTTTACAGCAAAACATTATTTTAATAGATTCCTTTTCATTTTTTCACCTATAGCGTGCAAACATTATACTCAGTAAATGTTATTTCACATCTACAAAGGCGTTTTGAGATGTAGTATTTGCATGTGGTTTGTAGCTCATGTTTTTGGCTAACATGTTAGCCACAGAGCTAACCTGAGTTGCATGTTCAGGGCTAATTATTACAACGTTACAGGGCTACGCGCCTTAAAAGTTTCATAAAACTGCTCAAGTAACATCACAGCTCACCTTCACCTCCACTTAACGGGAATAAAAGAGTCACTGTTTTTCCTCCTGTAGCACCATGTCGAAAAGAAAAGTAACATTTGAGGATGGCAACGGAGAGTTTGACCTCGAAGACGATGTCCCGAATAAAAAGGTAATGCTGTCTTCTTTACACGGTTATTTAAAAAGTATAGACTGCTGTGGTGGCAGAGGTTAGCAATAATTATTTTGTAGTGCAATTAGATTCTTACTAGTTGTTTACAGCCAAGCATCACACACGTACTTTCGATATCTCCAATGTTAAAATGGCACAATAATGCGCCAGTATAAGTCAGTTACCGAAATTTAGCTCTGAAGTATTTGTCAGTGTCATGCATACAGTTGTGTATATAGTCAATAATAATAGAAAGTTAGGTGGTGCTAACACTAACTTTCGTAGAGTGAAACAATCTGATGTCAACATATTGGCCTGTGTTTATCTATTATGTATTTAGTGTATTGAAAAACGCAAATGTGTGGTCATTTAGCAGTGTTTCAGCTTTTGATGTAACAAACTAGTTAGCAACATGTTCTAAAGAGACAGCTTAACGCCACATAAGCATCTGTACCAGAGATGCTCAAAGCAAGTGCAAAGCTGCAGATGTTTACATACAGTCAGGGCGTGAATGTCATGCTAAATTTGGGCTTTTAACGGCTTTTTTTGAGCTGTTCTTTCCCAGGATGGAATTATTGTACAGCAAATATAATTGATGACATTAAAAACCTCAGTCATTTGTAGTTCATAGTCATCCTAAAAACACAGATGCATCGTATAAGCAAATAACCTTTACTCTAGTAAAGACTATATTTGGTGGCCGAAGAATTAAATTTGACCACAGCAGAAGCAGCATTAACTGAGAGAGTTTTTCGTGTGCTTTGGCACTTTTAATAAAATGTTAGAGCCTTTTTATTCTTTTTTTTTCTTGGGACGAAAGCATTAAAAGCACACTACTCTGTGTGTGTGTGTGTCTGTTTTGTTTATTTTTCAAAAACTAATTGATGAAATAGGAGTAGTCAATACATCTTTTTTATGTCATTTCAATTCACTTGGTGAAATATTTGTGTTATTTTTATTTTTCTTCTACTCTCGAAATAGAGTTGTGAAGCTGTCAGCGGACCAGGCTCCAGGTTTAAGGGTAAACATTCCCTTGACAGCGATGAAGAGGATGAAGGAGAGGACACAAACAGCAGCAAATATAATATTTTAGACAGTGATGATGTTGAGGGTATGTTGATTATTTAAGCTGTATCTGTAACTCTTAAGTGGTCCTGTTTACTCTTCACATGTTTATTTCCCCCACATTGAGTCAAATTTAGAACTGTCCCTTTATTTCTTTAAAGGGACAGTTTGATTTCTTAGAATTTGGATTTTATGAGATATTATGATTCCTTTTATTTCCCCCTGGAATGTTTTGCGTATAGTAAAGGTAGTGCCACTTTGGAAAAGTAATTGCTGAAGGGGATAACATATCATAGGTCTGTTAAGTTGACAGTAATTTTTGGCCAAATGAGTTTTAGTTGACTGGTGATTTCAGTGTGTCTTTGTCAGCTGAACAGTTACAGAGACACATCGTACACCCTTGTGTTATATGAGCAAATTTTGGAGGATTCACTTGAGCATTGCCTTGTTTTACTTGGCCTTCATGCATTGGTCGTACTGTCTTTTTAGTTAGTTGTGTTGCTTTAAAGTGCAGACACACAGCACTTTGCATATAACTTCTACTTTGTTAACATTAGTTGCTAAACCCAAAGCATTTCGAAACACCAAATGATGAGTCACTCTGAGGGACAAGCGGGACACCTTCTAGAATAGAATAGAATTCAACTTTATTGTCATTGCACATGCACAGGTACAGGGCAACGAAATGCAGTGCAAATGCAATTCTACAGTGCCAAACAGTTTATTTTTGTTGTATATCTGTCTTTTAACACAGTTTTAGTCATCCACACTACATCTAGGTAATTTCAGTTTGTGTGGTACATTCACACATGTGGTTAGGTAGTCAAGGTTTTAACTGTTGGAGCATGTACAGGGTGGGCCATTTATATGGATACAGCGTAATAACATGGGAATGGTTGGTGATATTAAAGTCCTGTTTGTGGCA